TATGTCTTTGTGCTAGAACATTGTGTTCATTGGCGAGCGAGCGCAGCGAGCCATGGTTCACGGCGTGAACCACATAGGATTGCGTAGCAATTCTCGGGGGTTGGCGAGCGTCAGCGAGCAGGGGGCGGAGCCTCCTAGTAAATACTAATTGAAGTGAGAAAATGAGATATGTATCAAAAATCAAAATTAAGTTAGAAATGATACTAATTCATTTAGGAGAATTGCATCATGACAACCTTTACTGAATAGAGTTACTCTTTATTTTATGATCTACTAAAACAAGTTTAATTCATCTAATACCGTAAAGTTGCTCAGAAGGGCAACAAGTAACAACAAATTAAAAAATGGTATGATTTCAGCTTAATTAATTCTGCCGATACATATCTCTCAGTTTTATCTATAATTGTGTAGTGTTGATAAATATCGATTATTTTTATTTCTTGATTTTACAGTATAAGCTGGTTTAAGTTGATTTCATAGTTTAGTTGATTCATAGTTAAGCTGATTTCATAGTATACTAATACATACATTGACAGTTGGATTAATGTTTATTTTTTAGTAATACTACAATATACAATCTACTGTATATAAAGTGTTATATTTATATTATGTAAATAACTATAATTTTTGAAAAATCATTCGACGTAAGTAAATAAACTATGGGAATAATTTTCTTCTTTCATTTTTTTTATTAAAACCTTTTTCCTTTTAAGTTAATCTCACACAGCGTGAAAAATGTTTTTGTTTTCCATTTTAAACAGCAGTATTAAAACTCAGATACTTAAACCGATATCAGCTACAGCCATTTAATGATTCTGATGTCTCAAATTGAAGCTTTTAAATGTGCATATATATGAAAAATCACTTTCGTTAAAATATGAATTTGGTTAAGCAAGCTTTATTTACGCTTCAAATTTATTCTTCAATTACGCGTTACCGAAGTTAAAATGCAACGAATTAAAACTACCGTCGCACATTCTATCTTTCAAAATAAGGAATCGGTAAAGATTTTTTGATTTCCTTTTGGGTGAACTGTGCACATTTAACATCCATTCTGAAGTTCAGACATTAAAACTGATTTGAAGTAATCAGCTGAGACCATTTTAATGTTTTATATTTGCCATCATAGCTCCTCTAAAGATGCATTTTTAATTATATCAGAAAAACTCCTGAAACTCTTTCCAGAAAATTAATATGACTAGATTACAATAGGCATTTTTTGATTAGTTTACTGTTACGGATATCCCAAAGTGTTAGGCATCCTGGCATACCGGCATCCTGGGTGCCGGTACTTTTACCGGCATCCTGGGTGCCGGTACTATTTTTACTGAAAATTCCATTGAATGAAAAATCTGACATACTGTAATTTTTATAATAATATTTATTATATAATCACTGTAGTTAAATAATTATTACAGAAATAAAAATTGAAATATGACTTAGGTTTTTTTTTATTAGCACGATAATGATTGTTTATTATAGCTTAAAGTAAGAACTCATAGTGCAAGATGATTTCTAATAAACAGTGGTTCAAAAAATCACGTACAGTTTAGTAGTCGCGTACAGTTTAGTAATCAGATTATTGACATTAATGGTGACAAATAAAAATCTGATTCAACTAACCATCCTGCAATAAACAGAATTTAAGTCAAAAAAACAAAAAATATGTTTTTTTTTCATATTTTCGCGTTATTTTGTAATATTACTTCGGAAATATAATTTGCTTTTCATTTTTAATATAAAATTACGAAAATTATTATATTTTCATTACTATATTTAATTATTTAAACGTACTGTACTATTTTTTTCACTTTTGATCGCTATATTTCAGCCACCATTTTGTTTTTTTGGGTATTTTTAATGTATTTCAAAATTACAACTATGAATTCACTTTACCTGCACATAAAAACCCCTAAATCAAACCCCCCAAATTTTGAAACAAATTTTATCGAAATACTAATTTTGGCCACGAAACTGGTTACTGTGCCTGCGACCAAACAAGTTTTGATGAACTGTATATCCGTTTTCTTTATTTGGGGATTCGTCAGTTTTCAATAGTTATATTTTTTTCTCTTTTAAATAATAATTTGTAACACCGATCGTGTAGGCATTTTTATCGGAATTTTCAATCAAGATTAAAAAACATAAATAAATTTAGCACTTTATAGAACACTTTTTATATTTTCTCTTAATTTTGTCTTGAATTTAGAACGTGCAAATATTTATATTCTATTTAAAAAATGTATAAAAACTTTTTTTTAAAAGAATTATTGCCACTTTGATAAATTTGTTTCACCTAAATGAATGCCATTAAAAATCTGAAGCAAACTATAAACTTGCACATGAACCAATTTTTTAGGGGTTGCAGTTTTTCAAGTGATTAGGTAAAAAAGAAATAAAATTCCAAACGATAATAATTTTCTTTGAAAAAAATGTGACTTTTCTGAATTTTTACATATTGAACCAATTTCTAACTCTAGCTGTAGAGGAATCAAACTTAATTTAACAGTGATGAATAAGCTGTTAACATAATATTTTATGAAAATAACTTTTTTTAAAAGGATAGTATTTTTCAACATAGCATTTGGATAATAAACGTAACAAGAAGAAGGGGAAAAAACAGTATTATTTTAAAAATTGAATATTTTTCGAGAAAAAGTCAAACTTATTCATTTTTACAAAGAGTCAGATCGAACATCTGAATTCCCTTATCCATATCAATTTACAAATAGTTTGTACAGTTATAGAGCTTATTTATTTTGCGCACATCAGTTTGGCTGAATCCGAATCTTTGTCCAATCATAAAAGTCCCAACTATATTCTTTGGTTCTATGGTATTTCTCCCATTCTTACTGAATGCTCTTCTGCTGTAATGCAAGACTGATGAATAATCATATTCTTCATCTAGCGTTTGCTGAATGTATGAGTCATACTTTTGGAAATTTCCTTCTGTGCCTGAAATCATGGTCAAGTAATTTATTAAAACTTTTCTTTTTGTGATTATATGAATTTCAATTTCCAAAACTATTTACTTTCTTTAAATATATTTCTGAAGCTAAAATAAAAATAATAATAATGCTGTATCTTTATGAAACAAATGATTGCTGTATCATTATGCTGTATCTTTATGAAACAAATGATTGCTGTATCATTATGCTGTATCATTATGAAACAAATTGTACCTTAAAATTGCATTGATTATACAGAAATATCTTGAAAAAGTGTTTTTTCGAAATACACTTTATCTCTAACGGAAATCAGAGAAAAATCCATGATGGATATTTTTTTCTGTAAAAGTTTGCCTGTTTTGAATAAATCTGTAATCCATGCATATCTTATAAAAAAGACATTTAAGCCTAAGTATCTACTATCTATAATGGAAATCAAGCAAAATCCATCCCTGCTTTACTCCCGATAGATTTTACTAGACATATTTTGAATAATGTATTCAAATCTTATAAAACTTCCAACACTGTAGAAAATTCCGTATCAACTTACTGTTTAAGTACTGTAAAGTACACTTTGAGTAACTCATGCATAAAATCCAGCTTTCGTGAAATAATATACCGTTGTATTTACAGTAATATTAATTTAATTAGAGTGAATCAATGATTTCACGGTAATTATAACAGTAAAAATTATAGTATATCAGTTTTTTTTTAGTTCCGTAACATGTTCCTGTAAAAAAATGAATTTTACAATAAAAAATACCAGCACTCTCAATGCTGTTTTTTTACGGTAATTTGAACTGGAATTTCGTACAATGCATATTCAAAAACTAAATTTATTTAAAATTTATTTTATTTAAAATTTATTAAAATTTATTTAAAATTTATTAAAATTTATTTAAAATTTATTAAAACTAAAGTTATTTAAACTAAATTTATTTAACGAAAATTATTTAAACTAAATTTATTTAAAATTTATTTTTCTAATAACAAACTTATATGCACAAAAGATAATTTTATTAATTATTTGATATTTGTCAAATTCATTAGGTAATTATTAATCTTTAATCAATTGTAAATTTTATTTATTTTTGTTAATTAGTTGATAATTAATCTAGAGTAACTTTACTAATTAATAGATGCTGTATGAAAATCAAGCAAAATAAAGTAACTTTCTAACTTATGTATACAAACCAGAAGCAATATTTTCCCATCTTATAGTCACATAGTCATCTCTATCTAATCTACTTTGTTCATGCCAGAAGCCTATGGCATGCATAAATTCGTGAATGACGATTCCAACTTGATCACAAGCATTAGCCAATGACAGTTCTTGTTTTCCACCCATTCGCCCAACCATAGAATAACATCTAAAATATGAAAAACATTTAATTTAGTATTTTTCAAATTAATATGGTTAAGATAGTTCATCATATGAAAATAAGACGTAAACTATTCCAAATTAAAAATTTGTTTAATATTTTGAAGTAAACAACTAAAGAAAACTGAAACTTAATTTTATTATTTTTTTATTAGTATGTATATTACAATATATATAAAATAAATTTTTTGTTTTCTTGCTTATGGCAATGTTAAATATTGCCAAAAGTATGGATAAGTTTTGGCTCCTGGAGACTATATTAAATGTCTCCTGGTGGGGAGTCGAGTTCAAAAAGTGCATACTGAATAGCTTAACAAATGAAAACGTGTTCTAGTGTTAATTGGGTTTGGAGGCGAGGTCTGTCTATGGGGTATAGAAGACCTCGTCTGAAGAAATCTTTATGTCCTTGAAATGGCCCGTAATCTTGCCATTGCTGTTGAGAAGTTTCTAGGACAGTCAAGATCTGAAAATAAGATATTTTGAATGTTTGCTTGAAATGTTTGCGCTTAACAACTGCATTTGCGTCATCAGAGATCAAGAACGTCTTTCACAGTAAATATTGAATTTTGAATAAAATATACTAGCTATTTGAGAGCAGGTACTTTTAGCTATCAAATTTTAAGTTTATTTACGCATTATATGAAAAACCCACAACATTAAAAGTCGGTGATTAAAGGTAGCAAAAATGTATCAATATAGTTTGTACTAATGTTTTAAAAAAGGTATATCATAATCACTTCATTTATTGTAGATATTTTTAGAATATTTTATTTAAAAATACATGCATTTAAATGTTCCCAACTTGATATTTAAACTAGGAAAAACAGAAAAGGAAACCAAAATCTGAGGAAAGTTGGCTGCAGTTGGAGCATATACTGCATAGAATCGTATCAACTACAATGTTTTTCAACAATAGCTCTTTCATCAATGTTTACAATGTTTGCAGTAAAATTATAATGTCTGTATTTTCACCTAAAAAGTTTCAACAATATTGCTAATATCTCAATCTCTGAAATCAAATAAAACTATTTTTACATTATCTTGTTCTTGGACACATTTACATGAAAGTAATAAACATGTTTCGCAAATAACACTCCAACTTCATTCCTTATAAATCGTAAAAAATAGTTACTTGAGAGAAGATGCAATTTAATCATGTGTAAGACATGCACAAATTTTGTACTTACCCACCTCCTCTGAAAACAGCTACGTAATCTGTTTCATTTGTTCTTGGTACAAATCGAATGCAAGTGTTGCGTGAAAATTCACTCACAGCAAGGGCAATCATAATGCGCCCCCTAACTCCTATATAATATAAAAAAGTCCGTGAAATTTATCACGGACTTTTCCGTGATAAATTTCACGGAAAAGAATATTAAATAGTTAAGAATATTAAATAGTTAAGGCTTTTCTTTTCAGAATATTAAATAGTTAAGACTTTTGGCTCCTGTGTAAAATCGAGGGCCCCTTCATTTAGCGATAATTTTCGTACAGTTTTGCTGAAATCCCATTTCTGGTTACCATACTTTGCAATCTTAGCTTTCAATGACGTCACCTTCGGGTTAACGTAACTTTTATTTGACTTTATGTGATTGGTTCTTAATTCATTTGCGCATATATTCGTTTATTCGCAAATAGCCAAAAATGAGAGGGAACCCTCAATTGTAAACTATTACCATATTTGTAATAAAATAGCGTTATCTGACTCAGTAGTCAGGTGTTTAAACTAGCAGAATTATCATCAATGCATTAATTGAAAATGTGACTTAGTGCAGTCGGAAAATACGATTAAAAAATATATTCATTAATTAAACGACATTAAGTACATCCAGAACAATATACAGTTATATAATCTCGCTCTGTTCTAAAATAAATTCGCATAAGAATAAAATTCTCAAGCGACTTTTTTGATATTGGCGTTGCATGTTTCATTACTACATAATTTTTCTTGCTTTAGTCAGACTTATGAACTCTTATAAATGTCTTGACATTATCTATATTAAAATTAAAATAAATATTTAGATTTCATACCAATTAGCTTATAAATTGATTTAAGGATATTTATTAATAAACTGTAATTGGGCGATTTAAAAATATCTATAGTCAAATACCATAAATGAAGATTTTGAAAACTTTTTTAATTAAAATTAAACCTTTTTTCTCTATGAAACACACCTCATAAAAGAAAATTTAGCGCAATAAAAATTAATTGCATGAAAATATTTTCTCAGCACGTGATAATCAATGAAAATTGGTAAAAATATTTACAATGAACTAATAAAAGATGTAAACACGCAAGAAGTGTTTTAAACTAGCAACTAGCTGCTTAATATTCACACAGTCTACAAATTTTCAAAAATAGTGAAATATTCATTGACTTTAGTAATTTTCAGCTAGTGAAAAGAAAATCGCCCGAAATTTCGATTTCTTTTTAAATATTTAAACTTAGAGTTTTAAAATCAGGTATCTCTTTTTAGAAAGATAGAGCGTATAGTGTAAATTTAAATCGTTGCTTCGAGCTTAAAGCATCTAATTTATTATTTTTTTATTTTTCTTGGGTTTTCGAAAGAATTTCGAAAAACATAGGAAGCTGTTTCAAACTCGTGAAAAGTGGGCAGTTTTTCTTAGTTTTCAAAGCTAGGGGGAAAAACGATGAGTACTTCTACCTCTAAAATCTTTGCTTTCAAAGTTTTGACCCTTGGGCATTTGTAGAGGAGTCAATATCACTTATAGATTAAAAAGCAATGATCCGTCTGGTGTATAAAAAAGGAAAACAGATACGAAAATCATTTGAGACCTCCTGAAAGTACATTGTATTTAGTTGTTAACGCTTTTTTTCGTATTTTTCTAATAAATCAATTATTTTCAACTTTTTCCCGATATTATTAAAGCTTGAAGAAGCAAAAACAATAATTATTTTATTTTTTCTTCCACTTCGGGGCATCGTTATGATTTTGAAATATTGGGTGATTAATTTAGAAATGCAACCGAAGAATTCAATTAATTAACAACTTTTTCTTAATTTTCTACGCTGTGAATAATTTACATTGAATAATTTTTGATAAAGAAATTAAATCTTTATTTCAAATGCTCTTAGGTTTGAGAATTCCAAACATTTATTGGTTATTTGTTGTAAGAAAAATTAATTTCAAACATGTACTGATACAGTAAGTAGATTTTATGATATATTTAATACTGTAAAATGGATTTTAACAAAAATAAATTACCGATATTCAAAATTATTTTTAAATTTACAATTCTAATAAAAAATTTTCGAACTTAAAAAGTGATTCGAAATTTTAAATAATTTTTCAAGAATTAGACTTTCAGAGAAAAACAGTTTCTTTCATTATTAATTGTTTTCAAGGTGGAGGAGGAAATCGTGCTTTCCCAAATATTATATATAACATGCTTTCCCAAAGTTTATCTATAACATGTTTTCCCAAAGTTTATATAAAACATGTTTTTCCGAAGTTTATATACACCGAAGAGCCATTACATTATGACCACCCTGCTAATAACATGTAGGACCACATTTAGCCCTCAAAACTGCTAGCACCCTCCGTGGCATTGATTCCACAAGGTGCTGATAGGCAGTCTGAGGTATCTGGTACCAAGCGCTCACCAACTGGTCCTGCAATTTCCTCACATTGCGAGGGAGCAGCATGGCAGTACGAATTTGATTTTCCAAGTAGGACCACAAATGCTCTATTGGATTAAGGTCGAGTGAATTTGGGAGCCAAGACATGACTCGAAAGTCACTGGAATGTTCCTCGACAATTCGACCCTTATGACATGGTGCATTATCCTGTTGGTAAACACCATCCGCCGCAAGAAAAATTGTTGCCTTGAATGGATGAACCTGGTCTGCAACTATGTTCAAGTAGCTTACAGATCTCAGGGATTGTTCTATGAGAATTATGGATCCTAATGTGCCCCATGAAAATATTGTTAATGGGCGAGAAACCATGAAAACTTGGGCGAGCCCATTGTTATAGATGGAGGGTGGTCATAATGTAATGGCTCTTCGGTATATAACATGATATCCCAAAGTTTCCCTGCAAATGAGGAGAAAAAAAAGAAAAATATTTTAAAAATGAAGTTTGTCATTCTAATTTACTGGTTTAATGATGTATTTTGTAATCTATGGCTGAAAAAATATTTATAAGTAAATTTTCAACCATAAATTCGTTGACATTGTTACTTGTTACTGCACTGTAAAAAAGGGTTTCCCAGAATTGAGCAAAAATGTGTCAAAATTACTCCAAAACAAATGATAATCGAATTTCAAAGCCCATGTATTCAAAATTGAAACAATATATTCTCATTTTTATGCAAATGTGTAGTATTAATGCGGTGGGAGAAACGTGCGAGACAAATTTTGATTGGCTACCAGCAGGATTCGTTCCAAGGACCACCGGGTTCATAGTTGGATACTTTTATCACCATAATTGCTTCTAATTTCAATTCTAGGAACAAAGACCTCAAGGTTACACCAGAAGGATCTGCAACACATGATGAAGAGGTAAAGGGCCCTATGGCCTCAGGCACCTCGGCCAAACTACAGGATTAGGATTAGGATTCACCATAATTGCACACTCCACTTCAAGCAGAGTTATGAAGCTTTATAGAATGGCTGTTGCAATAACATATCTGAATGTACTTACTTCCAATTTCAATGGTGCAAAAATTTGCAACTAGGAAAATATGGTTCAAAAAGCTTAGTCTTCATATAAGTAATTTCAACTTAATATTTTGCTTATTTCACTATATCTTAGAAACTTTTAAGCAATAATGAAATATGAGGGTATTTAAAATAGCTTTTATTTAATTATTTTAATTTGAGAGTATATTGGAAAATGATGTAAAATTGATTGTTTTGACAAAGCGTGTTTTCTTTTTAAAAAAATATTTAAAAAAGCACACAATATGCGTAAATTCTTATCATAACGTTCGGTATCAAATGAAAATTTTTAAACTTTTTTATTAGATCAATATACTTGTTTAATAGGAAAACTAAGCAGGCCAGTTTTTAGATGATCTCATTATTTCTAACGGTCCCATTTTAGGGACCGCTGTCCGTCAGGATGAGTTAGGAAGCTTTATATAATAGCCACTGCAATGCCACATCATGACATACTTTCCAAATTGCTACCCTTTGTGTATTTGGAAGTGTAAACTGTATTTCAAGATGTGTCTTTGCGGCGGTCACTTTTTAGAGCTCCTTAACTCGCCCTGGACTGTGGTGTACAACTATGGTGGTTCGAGCCTCCTACTACATCCCCGGTGGTTTTTGGATCAAATCCTACAAGTAATCAACAATTTCTCTCCGCATTTTTTCATTTTGACTCTTCGCACACTTTTCTCCCTCTACATCACAAAATGCGTATTCTATATATGTTTTGCTCAAAAAAATAGTATTTTCTATTTCAGTTTTGTATACATTACGTTATCCGATTCGACTATTATTTCTGTTGGATCTATTTTGACACATATTGACTATTGAGCTATTTCTCCCTATATCTTTTCATTTTCGCTCTTTCCACAAATTTCTCCCTCTACGTCGCAAAATGCGTATTCTAAACTATTCTAAATGCTAATTTTCCTAAATCTTACTTAATTTTTGAATACTATAAAAGCTCATAAAATGCCTTCTTGCTAAAAAAGATTATTTACTAAAAAGGCTAAAAGTTAATTCCTAAAAATGTTTTAGACTTTAAAAATCGTTATTTTAGTTTAATTAGTTGACAGGACACAGTTTTTATAAACCATATTACAAAATATGACTTATTCATTGTTTAGTATATGTAAAATGGCTAATAAATTATATAAATTTTCAAAAGGGTTTTTCATGTTACCTACATTTATCATTTGTTTAATAATGCTAATGTGTGTAAGACTATAGAATTACCTATAGTAAAAGAACATCAGTTTTAGTTTTAAGTCTTTAATTTACGATAATAATCTAAATCGAAAATGTAATAACAGCAAACAATAATGTTAAGAAAAAATGATAAATTGATAATAATCAAATAATAACTTTATCCTTTATTATCGATATTTATAAGCAGATAAATGTGATGAATAAAGGATTGAGAAAAATATTTTTCAGAGGAGGAAAATATACTTTAATAGCTGTAATTAATTTTATGCTGATGAGAGAAAAAGAAATTTGGGTCAATTTTGTAAAATACCTTCTCAAAACATGTCATATTTTTTGGCCAATCAACCGAGTGCAATGAGGAACGTTTTTGGACCCATGATGAAATATGCTTAAAATACATTTCAGTAGTTCTCTTTAAGACAAATATTAAAGCAGGCCTATTAATAACAACATTTCGATCCTGATTTTAATATAAGAACTACATAGTGTGAATAGTTTACCTGAATTTATGAAATTTGCAAACACATGAAAACAAATACAAATATATGGTAATGCAAAAATGAATTACCATAAAACAAAGGTATGGAGTAAGGCACTCGTCCATCCGGCCATTTAAGATCTTCACTTCGAATTGCATTTCTTTCCTATTAGAAATTTTTAAATTCTGCAATTTATAAATTCCATAAATTATAAATTGATTATGCGTTTCTACCCTATCATTAATTTAAAGTTAAAGTTACAAATAGCTTTTGTTTAACAATCTGAGTTCTCATACTATAGTGTGAAGTTAAATAACCTATTAAATAATTTAAAATTCTAATCATTAATCTAAATAAGCCATTGCAAGCCTCGATAAGTAACATGATATCATTTTTTTTATCATTTACTATAATGCATTAGATTTTTAAAAGGATATTTGCTTTTAATACAAAATATTAAAAGAAATTTAAAATTCTATAACACTTGCTTTGAAAAAGAAACAACTCTCTGAAAATATTTGCTATTAACAAAATCTAAATTTGATTGAAAAAGATTAATCGTTATTTAATACAGAAATCATCAAAAGAAGCTTTCAATGGAAGACTAAAAGAGAAAATTTATTTATTTTAAAATATTTTTCTTTTATTTTTTAATCAAAGCAAGCTTTACTTTATTTTGTGATTGAAAGCAGTCCAAATTTTTTCATTGATATTTAGCATATATTAAATTTTATTTGATTTAGAAAATAAATTTTGTTATTTGGATGAAAATAACTCAGTTCGAAGAATTGATTTACAGTGCGTTACCAATTTGAATAAAGATCAAATCAGTTTTACCTGCATTCTTCTCAGTAAAATATCTCCCTCAAACTGCCCAGAAATTTCGATAGGATCAATGTAATCTTCTTCTTCTGGTCCATCAAATAAATATTTTCTAACAACTAAAGCAAAATAAGAGACTAAATTGAATTTAATTATCTAAAAGCAATATGCTAGTTTAAGTCAAAATGACGTGCGCACTTTTCATTTCTTAACTTACTGTGACAATATCTAACTACATATATCTTCTTATTACAAAAATGCTGTAGCAAATAAATGATACAGAAAAAAATATGTTTATTTACTCGCTCAATATTTATTTTAAAAAATACGTAAGTAAATTTGCTTCAAAGCGTTGTATACTGAGTTTAAATATGACTTAATATCAAATACATGTGTACAAGCGTGGTAAAATTATTTAACATTGATATTCATGTTTGATATTTCTTATTTGATATTCTTTCAAAGTCTTTCATTGTATTCCTTCATGTTCCAAACCAAAAGAAAGAAACAACTTTTATACATATTTTTACATATTTTTCTAATTAATTCCTTGCTTAAATTATGCATAGTTAAGATTAAATAAATTTCTAAGGCAGGATGCGCAAAATTTTTGAAATTGACAGCAAAGAAGTAATGGGTTAAACAAAAAATCATTATCCTTTTTGGAGGTGAAATAAAAGAGGTTTATTCTAATTGTGTATTACTTTTTAATGAATTATAAATCATCTATTTTAGTCAAATACCTCCGTCATCTTTCTGGTAATTAACATGATTCCATGATCAGGAAATTTTTCATCTTTATTGACCAAATAATTGAAGCTATTTTCGACATATTTTTTTCTTTTATTTTTTCTTCATTTGAAGCATTGAGTTTGTCTTTTCAATCATTTTTTAGAAACCGAAACAGGTAATAGCAAATAAGTGTCAGATCTGAAAAATATATTGGCTGTGATAATACACCCCTCCGAGCCTTAGAAATTTTTGACGAAATACCGATCTTGTATTTTGGTGAAAACTTATGACTTTCCAAATTATCAGTTTCTGCCTTTTTTTCTGACTGATTGACAATAAGATGAATAGATTAGTGCAGCAGTGATAATTTATTCAACTTATGAATTTCTAAAAACAATAACAAGTATATTATAGGAGATTATTGTATTTGAAATCAGGATTCATTCAATTTGTTTAACTGATGACTGCTAACAACAAAATTCATTGCATTATTGTTCAGCAGAAGCTATAAGAAAACTATTTCCTTGAAATCTTTTCCAATATTTCTGTATTTTTCAACAAAAACAATTTTCGTNAAGCAGTATAAATTTTTTCATTGATACTTAGCATATATAAAATTTTATTCACTTTAAAAAATTATTTTGATATTTAGATGAAAATAACTTTGTCCGAAGAAATGATTTTCAATGCGTTACCAATTTGAATAAAAATCAAATCAGCTTTACCTGCATTGTTCTCAGTAAAATATCTCCTTCAAACTGCCCAGAAATTTCGATAGGATCAATGTAATCTTCTTCTTCTGGTCCATCAAATAAATATTTTCTAATAACTAAATGCAAAATAAGAGACTAAATTCAATTTAATTATCTAAAAGCAATATACTAGTTTAACTCAAAATGACATGTGCTCTTTTCATTTCTTAACTTACTATGTACTTACTTATCTATTTACATATCTCATTGCCATATGCATGCCGTATAAAATGCTTCAGCAAATAAATGATAAGAAAAAAATATGTTTATTTACTTGCTCTATATTTATTTAAAAAAATACTTAAGTAAATTTGCTTCAAAGCGTTGTATACTCTGTTTAAATAAGACTTTTTATCAAATACATACAAGTGTACAAGTGTGGTAAAATTATTTTACATTGATATTCATTGTTGATATTCCTTATTTGATATTCTTTCAAAGTAATTCATTGCATTCCTTCATGTTCCAAACCAAAAAAAGAAACAACTTTTATACATATTTTAATATATTTTTCTAATTAATTCCTTGCTAAATTATAAACTTAGGAGTTAAGATTAAAAAACATTTCTACGGCAGGATGCGCAAAAATTTTTGAAATCGACAGCAAAGAAGTACTGGGTTATTCATAATTCCCTCCGGGGTTTCGAAGCGTTATAGTAAAAAAAACGAAGACGAATATGGCAAAAAAGAATATATGTAATTATTCCGAAAGTATTCAAGTTTTAATTTATGCAGTTGCCGGTAGATGGCAGTAACATGTACCACTGAAGCCAGTTGTAGTAAAGAAAAATGACGTTTACAGGCGGAGGGAATTATGAATAACCCCGTAATGGGCAAAACAAAAAATCATTATCCTTTTTGGAGGTGAGTTAAAAGATGTTTATTCTAATTGTGTATTACTTTTTAATGAATTATAAATCATCTATTTTAGACAAATACCTCTATCATCTTGCTGGTAGTTAACATGATTCCACGATCAGGAAAATTTTCATCTTTATTGGCCAAATAATTGAAGCTATTTTTGACATCATTTTTTCTTTTTCTTTTTTTTTTCCTTTTTTTTTCTTTTGAAGACATGAGTTTGTCTTTTCAATCATTTTTCAGAAACCGAAACAAGTAATAGCAAAGAAATGACATATCTGAAAAATATATTGGTTGTGATAATATGCCCCATCCGAGCTTTAAAAGCTTTTGACGAAATACTGATCTCGTATTTTGGCGAAAACTTATGGCTTTCCTAATTATCAGTTTTTGCCTTTTTTCTGGCTGACTGACAATTAGATAAATAGATTAGTACAACAGTGGTAATTTATTCACCTTATGAATTTCTAAAAACAATAACAGGTATAATATAGGAGATTGTTGAATTTGAAATCTGGATTCATTCAATTTGTTTAACTGGTGACTGTTAACAACAAAATTCATTGCATTATTGTTCAGCAGAAGCTATAAGAAAACTATTTCCTTGAAACCCTCTCAAATATTACTGTATTTCTCAACAAAAACAATTTTTGTTGCTGAATCTAAGGCTTTATGATCTGACCATGTCCCAAAATTATAATTGATGTAAATTTTTCCGAATAATTATATCTTCCATAGGTCGCAATTAAATTTCGTGTTGGGGAAGGACTGGTTTACTTTCCAAGCAACCCAATTTAAGTTTTGTAAGTCGATGCACTGACTTTGAACAAAAATACTTTTAGAACTTAAATACATTAAATATTTAATTCTTACATAGATAAAATGCATAATACTACACTAGACAATTGAAATTTTTAAGAAGGAAAGGGGTAGAAATAACTAATATGGAATTTTTGAGATCAATTTAAAAATATCAACTATCGATTATAAACTGTTCATGAGTTTGCAATGCTTAAGATGTTCGTTAGTTTTTAGTTTGAATATATTTTGGTTTATAAAAGAATATTATATAATTTTCCCTGTAAACAATTTTATTTATATTTCCGCAATTAATGGAAAATAGAAATTTTTATTTTTCACAGTAGTAATTATCTATCCATCGGGAAGTATAAATAAATTACAAATAAAAAATACGAGAGGCTATTACATCTTACTATTTGTCTTTATTTTCAATTTATTTATTACATAGTGGATACTTTCATTTCTTCGGTATGCTGTATCAAAATTAAGGTAAAATTTTACTACCTACCTAATTAATAAGGAAATTAAAACATTTTAATTTGTCACTTTTACAAAATATGTTGTATGTGATATTTTAATTATTTAAATGACAATCACTATAGAGAGAATAGCACTCCATATATTAGAATTATAGTACGTTACATTATAATTTTAATAAACAATGGGTCTATTAAATTATATAAACTTCGGTAACAATTTTATCTTCAGATTCGAGAATAACACATTTTTGGTGCATTTTATCAAATTTAATTTTAATTACTTTTCTAAGTTAGTTACAGATGACATCATTCAACGGTAGTAGTAAAAATGTAATATAGTTGATTACAAACACCTCCACATATATAACTCTAATACAAAATAATGCACTTCATATCCAGGTGGTCTACAATAACACAAGATTATATTTACAGTTATTGGTTTAAATGATTACTTTTATAATATAAGGTAATCTACAAAATAGCTAATAAATATAATAATTAAAAATAAAACTCCAAAGTTATTTTTTTAACATTTCAGTTCACTATGGGTCATTAAATCAGAATTAGTACCTTTCTTATTAATGTAACAGTTTAAGTTAATATTTTTGCAATTTATACACATTTTAAAATAACTGCTTTAAGGAAATAAAATTATTCAAAATGTGTAAAATATTTCTTAAAATAATTTAATTAATGCATAAATAATTAATAATTTGCTATTGTAATTTGTTTGCATTTATAATTTGCATGCATGTTAAAACACCTGAAAGGTACTCTGAAAACATTTTAACGCTTTTTAATATCATCATGTTACCTACTTGTTTGGTCCTGGTCTGTACTGTCAGCAGCCTGAAATAAAATTCTAATTTACAAATGAACTGATTTTTAAAGAATCATAAATTTTATGAAATATGCAAGAGTTTACAGAAACTTGCAATTTTATGATAAATTGCATCTATTGAATATAATTAAGGAAAATTAAGAGAAGAAAAACATTAAAAAAGAAAAAAATTATTTTCCAAAACATCTAGCCATCTCAATAATTTTTAGATTGATTTCTTCATAAATCGATAGGATATAAATTGTTGGGAGGGCCTTATTTGATATGATATCGGTCCGTAAGATTCTTAGCATTATTTGTAAACATTTATTTAAGAAACTTCTAAATTTCGTTTTCCTGCTTTCATGGGTGTAACTAACGGAATAAAATCACGTATACGGTTGAGTTGTACATATTTATATTATTTATTAATTTCAAAAGTGAAGCTTTTCAAACACTGTCATAAAATTAATAACTGAATTCTAATAACTAAATACAAAATAAGAGACTAAACTGAATTTCATTATCTCAAAGCAATACACTAGTTTAAGTCAAAATTTCATAATAAAATAATAAAAATAAAATGAAATAAAATTAAAAAAATTATTTTATCTGCTAATGTCTTTTCTGAAAAAATTTTGTTCCCACTTGCCTTCCTCTTTTCATAT